ATGTGTCTCAGGGGACTTCCGTCCCAACCCGGTAAACCTTTCGGTCCTACCCGTGTCGACCTTCCGGTCCACATCACAATGCCTTCCGGCCCATAACATAATGCATTCCGGCCCATATCAAGCATAGCATACATATCACATACAAAACGGGTAACTAATCACATACAATGCATATATATCATATAGCATATCCGACCTTACGGTCACACATAGGTACCCTTCCAGGTACAGTATAGTGAGAAGACTCACCTCTGATATCTCGGTAAATCACTGACTCGGTAGAAATACGATCTAGCCTCCGCCTAAACACATAAAACAAATACTCCCATAAATATAACTATACTCCAACCTTTCCTCAGAAGGGTAAAAGACCATTTTACCCCTCTTCTGGCTCAAGAGGCCTCACTGCTAACCAAACCCTAAAAGTCAACCAAAGTCAACAGTCAAACTTTGACCCGACTCGGCGAGTGCACTTGGGCAACTCGGCGAGTCCACCTGTGTCCACTTAACTCCTTAGTCCCATTTAACACGTCGAGTCCCTCCCTTTACTCGACGAGTCCCCAGGCAAGAATCACGGGGCTACCCTGACTCAACTCGCCGAGTCCCAAGAACAACTCGGCGAGTACATGCCATGCACAAGTTCTATTGACCTCCTGAGGTCAGATCCGTTCCTCAAATCCATAGATCTGACCTTCCCAAGCAATATAATCACGTAAAGCTCGAAACTTGATGCTATATATATATATATATATATATATACATAATGGCATCAAATGGTGATTTAGTCCAAAAATGGCAACCTAAGTCCAATCACCCCACAAGGACTCATAAAGCTTAATGGATTGAAGTCTCTGGACCTCTTTGAGTCCAGATCCAAAGCATAGACTCGATAAGGGACCAATTGCTCCACATAAACATCCTCAAAAGAGGTTAGAAAACCCTAATCTCTAAGTTCAATACCAAAACTGAAGAAGGTCCGAATGAATACCTCAAGTTGAAGTCTCTGGACTCTGAAACCACTTGAATCACACCTCCTTCAGCCTCCTCTTGCTCTTGATCACCTTCTTTTTGCCAAACCAAGGATAGAAAGATCAATTATGGTTTCTCCTTCCTCCCAAACGATATAGATCACTAAGGGTGCTCTCAAGGGACTGGTAGCCGCAATGGAAGGCTAAGAGTGCCCTTAAATGGGCTCCAACCCCGGAGGATTAGGGTTTCATTAAACAGCATGGACTCGCCGAGTCCAATGCGAACCCGGATGATCAACCACGACCCTACTCGGCGAGTCTACGCATCAACACACCGAGTTCCTTCACATAATCCAAAAATAAATATTTAAATAATATACCTGGGATTCCGGATGTTACAATCTAACTCTATTAAGTTCCTATTTGGAGATTCTTTATACATGATGTGATAAGATTGCATTTTGATGTGTGTAGGATCGAAGAAAAGAAAGTAAGCTTAAAGGAAGAAGTGAGTACGCGCAACGTACTGAGGGTTTGGGGGCTACGTGCCACGTACAACTGGTTACCCCCAGCGTACACCCAGTTTAAGCACTTTCTCCATTAAAGTGCTTAATGCTTGGTTTCCTCA